GCCTGGCCCCGGGGCCCCAGCCGCTCCGCGGCACGTGGGGTCCTCCCGAAACGGGGCACGAACCCGCGTCTCCCGCACCGGCAGGCGGACTCTCAAGCACTGCGCCACCAGGGAAGCCCAAAGATGACCCTCTTTCCACCAGGCTCCGCCCCATCCAGCTTCCTGCCACACAGGGTGTGCTGCAGTGACCACGACATTTTGGGATGTGGCCAAGGGAAGCCGACTTAAGGATGCAGTTAGCTGGGTCCCTGGCCTTGTGATGGGGGCTGTGTCCAAGGCACCCGGCACGGCAAGTGAGTGGGCAGCGGCTCCAAAAGCGGTGTCAGAGGCCGGTCTGGAAGGTTTTTCCAGGCCTCACGGCTCCTTACAGGGAAGACGGATGCACGGCCTAAATTTGCCAGTAGTTCCCAAACCGCCCTTACTAGGAACGTCACCTAGTCGTAAAGCCAAAGAAACCTTGCTAAACCGTCATGAAAGAAAAACTCGGACCAGCTGTGCTAGAGGAAGGACTGAATTCTTTTTCAATTCTCTATAGGCAACATCGGCTTGGCCAAAAAGTGCGTTCGGGTTTTTCCAGACCATCTTGCAGTGTGGCCCGGAACGAACTTTTTGGCCAACCCAGTTGCTTCAGGATGCCTGGCATCTGACAAGATAGTTCAGACGCATACAGCCCACAGAGTAGGACGGTATTGCAGAGGTGTGTCAGCAGTTAACGAGCAAGACTGTTATTCTGCTGGATTTGGGGTGCGAGTGGTATTTGTAGTATTGCCGTAGAACAAATCCCCACACGGACATCCATCACCTCCAGTTTCCAGGAGTCTGGCCCGGCTGAGCGTGGTACTGCCCAGGGTCTCAGGCTGTGGGGAGGGTGTCCGGCCTCCTGTGAGCCTGCGGGCTGCTGGCCGGGTGCAGGACGGGGCCCCGGCTGCTGGAGGTCGCCCCCAGTTCTCTGCCTCATGGCCCTTTCTGTAGACAGCTCTTCCCATGGCCACTTGCTTCTCCCCGGCCAGCAGGGAAGTGTCTGGTAGCTAAGACGGATCCTTCCACACAAAAATGTGGTCATGGGGTCGTGTCATCACGCTGCCTGTACGCTGTTGGTTGCAAGGCAGCCTCAGGGTCTTGTGCGCTCAAGCGGAGAATGCCATACAAGGGCGTGACCCATCAAGGGGCCCCGGAGGGTTGGGTTCACCAGAGTATTTCTGTATTTTAAAAACTGTGTAATGAATTATAATTTCTTTTCTCCTTCTCAATAATCATTTTTGTATTTACCATTATATGTGTAATCTTGTATTCTTTTCTTAAAGGAGGGCCCTGCAATGAATAAGCTTCAGACCAAAACCAAAACCTCCAGACCATCTCCCCCTGGGTCACACCCCACTGTATCTTATCATGAGAAACTTTTTGTTTGTATGTTCCTACATGACCAATTTCTCTTTTTTTTCCTTTTTAATTGAAGTCTAGTTGATTTACAATGTTGTGCTAATTTCTGCTGTACAGCAAAGTGATTCAGTCATACATACATATATACGTTCTTTTTTTATATTCTTTTCCATTACAGTTCATCACAGGATACTGAATAGAGTTCCCTGTGCTCTACAGCAGGACCTTATTGTCTATCCATCCTCTGTACAATAGTTTACATCTACTAATCCCAAACTCGCAATCCATCCCTCTCCTACCCTCCCTCCCCCTTGGCAAGTCTGTTCTCTATGTCCGTGAGGGTGTTTCTGTTTCGTAGACACGTTCATTCGTGCCATATTTTAGATTCCACATAAGAGCGATATCACATGGTATTTGTCTTTCTCTTTCTGACCGACGTCACTTAGTATGAGAATCTAGGTCCACCCATGTTGCTGCGAATGGCATTATTTCATTCTTTTTTATGGTTATTGTAAATAGTGCTGCTGTGAACACAGGGGTGCATGTATCTTTTTGAATTAGAGTTTTCTCTGGATATATGCCTGGGAGTGGGATTGCTGGGTCATATGGCAGCTCTATTTTTAGTTTTTTAAGGAACCTCCGTACTGTTCTCCACAGTGGCTGCACCAGTCTATGTTCCCACCAGCAGTGTAGGAGGGTTCCCGTTTCTCCACACCCTCTCCAGCATTTGTATACTTTTGTTTTGGAGGGTTGTTTTTCTTTATTTTACACTAGGGGCCAAAGTGGGGAAATCTAGCAGAATCTGTTTAATTTACGCCAAACTTTTTTTTTTTTTTTGAGCTTATTTATTTATTTATTTATTTATTTATTTATTTATTTATTGGCTGCGTTGGGTCTTCATTGCTGCCTGGGCTTTCTCTAGTTGCAGCGAGCGGGGGCTACTCTTCGTTGTGGTGCGCAGGCTTCTCATTACGGTGGCTTCTCTTGTTGCAGAGCACGGGCTCTAGGGCCTGCGGGCTTCAGTAGTTGTGGCTCAGGGGCTGAGTTGCTCCAGGGTATGTGGGATCTTCCCTGACCAGGGCTCGAACCCGTGTCCCCTGCATGGGCAAGCGGATTCATAACCACCGCGCCACCAGAGAAGCCCACGCCAAGCGTTTTTGCATAAAAGAAGAGAGGCAAGTTACAAAATCTGCCTTGGAAGTCTTTATTTGTTTTTCCTTAAAAATGTGACTTGCTTCCTAAAGATCCCTTATTTTCCTTCTGTAACAGAGGCTGGGGAGGAAGGGACAGGGAGGAGAGGAATCAAAACGTGGGAGACGCGGTTAGAAGAGCAGAGGCATTCATGGAGATGGGGGGATTCTGTGTGTCCTGCCCCCACCGCTGAATGACGGGCAGTGCCTGGGGACATTCGGGGCCGTCACAATGGGGGGATGTGACTGGCCGCCAGTGGGTGGAGGCCGGGGATGCTGCCGAACGTGCTGCAGTGTGCCGGAGGGTCCCACACAGGAGAGTCGTCCAGACCGGAAGGTCTGTCGCGCCGCTGTCTGGGGGGCGGCCTGGCCGGAGTCACGTCAGGGAAGGGGAGGCTGCTCCACCACGCGGTGATCGAGGGGCCCCGGGTGCCAAATCTGAGAGCGTGTTCGGACCCCGAGCCCGACTCCGCCGTGAGGTTGGAGCCATCCTGTCCGGCCTGGTGGCTGACACTGCAGGAGACCAGGGCAGTCTAGACGGGATGTTTCACTTTGCCTGTGTATGTTTCTGTGTGTACAGCAAGAGGGAGGGGAAGAGATGCAGAAGGACCAAGAGCTTTTTCTCTTCTTCCTAGTTTCTTCAGAGAACCAAGGGGAAGCTGTGCTTGGCCTTAGTCTCTGTTTCCCACTGGCTAACGTATGTGGGGACCAGAAAGCAGCAGTTGCTGAAGGATTGAAGGAGTGGTAAAATAAAAGCACAGCAGCAGCAGAAGAGAGATGCAAGTGCTTGTGTCGATTCCCCTAACGGTGCTGCCCGCTAGAACCTTCTGTGATGCAGGGGGTGTTCTGTATCTGTGCTGTCCGACACCTGTGGCCGCTGAGCCCCTGGTGCCCAGCTAGTGGCTGCGAGGTTGAAGGGTCTGGCTCTAGAATCACAGTTTTGAAGCTTGAAGAGACCTTAGGGGTGACGGCCAAGCCCAGCTGATTGCAGACTCCCCCGGGGCTCCTTTACCAAATCCCTCTGGAGCTGCAGCCGAGTCGTTCTTTTCCTGAAGCTCTGCCAGCAGTTCCGAGGAGCGGCCAGGTGTGGCTCCCCCTGTCCGGGAGGCCAGAGAAAAGGAAACTGAGTCCCGTGCTCGGGATGCGGGTTGGCTGACGCCTCCCGAGCCACTCGGACCCTTTGTTCTTGGTCCAGTGCTTTGCCCTTTGTTTAAAAAAACCTTTTAGCTTCTGTGGTGGAGTCTCCAGGAAAGTTGGATCACGGAAGCAGCCACAGCCTCGGAAGTCTTTATTTTTGTCTAAGTTCTGACTTAGAAAGATGGGAAGGGACTGCCAGTGAGGCAGAGGGAGCACTTGCCCTTGTAACCCCTGGCCTGACGCACTCAAAGACTGCTTAGCTGCCTGCCTGTGCCGGTGAGGTGAGGCTGGCCACGGGCGGTTCGGGCAGCAGCCACGCTCGCGAGGAAGGCGTGAGAGGCTGAGCTTAGACCGCGTGTCTGGGCGTCTGCGGCGGATCACGGCAGCCCTGCAAGCCGGCGCGGTGGCTCCTGCTAACAAGGAATGGAGACGTCAAGGCTGTGATCTAAGCTCCCACAGTGAGCGCCTTTCCCCAGCGCGGGCGCACCTCCCCGCTGCCGTATGGGGGACGTTCTGACTTCCAGCGTTAAAGGAGCGGGTGGGACTCTTGCTGCTTCATCCTTGGAGGTGCAGGAACAGGCAACCGAGGTGCTTTAGGGTGTATGGAGACCTTCGCACTAGGTGTTGCGGTGGGTTTTTTTTTTTGCGGGGGGGGGGGGGGGCACGTATTTGTCTCTCTGGAAGGACGTTAACAGGAGGACACCACTGTGAGGCATAGGCAAATTTTCTCTATTTTAAGATTGTTATATGAGTTTTGTCTCTCAGGACGTTAACAGGAGGACACCACTGTGAGGCATAGGCAAATTTTCTCTATTTTAAGATTGTTATATGAGTGTAAGAGACTCTTGAGTTTTATTTATTTTTCAAATTAATTAATTCATGTACTTTTGGCTGCATTGGGTCTCCGTTGCTGTGTGCGGGCTTTCTCTAGTTGTGGCGAGCGGGGGCTGCTCTTCGTTGCGGTGCACGGGCTTCTCATTGCGGTGGCTCCCCTTGTTGTGGAGCACGGGCTCTAGGCGCGTGGGCTTCAGTAGTTGTGGCACATGGGCTCAGTAGTTGTGGCTCGTGGGCTCTAGAGCGCAGGCTCAGTAGTTGTGGCACGCAGGCTCAGTAGTTGTGGCGCACGGGCTTAGTTGCTCCACGGCATGTGGGATCTTCCCGGACCAGGGCTCGAACCCATGTCCCCTGCATTGGCAGGCGGATTCTTAACCACTGCACCACCAGGGAAGTACCCTCTTTAGTTTTAGTATTAGGTTATCTTTAGATTTAAAATCATTTGAATTAGTAGCTATTGATTGACAACACAAGGTCCTTCAGAGGGTCCATAAGTTCATATCGATATTTTCAACTCGATTTTTAAATTTAAAAAAAATTTAAATGCTAGCTTTATGAAGAATTCATGCACCATGAAATTCACCCTTTTAAAGTGAACCCCATTCAGCGATTTTTAGTGTATTCACGCAGATGTGCGGCCATCACCACAATGCAATTGTAGAACATTTGTATCACCCCAAAAAGAAGAGCCCTGCACGGTAGCAGCCGTTCCTCGTTACCACCTCCCACCGCCAGCCCCGGGCCTGGCAACTGCTTTCTGTTTCTTTGGATGTGCTGTTCTGGACATTTTACATACGTGGAATCAGACAGTGTGTGACCTTTATGTCTGGCTTCTCTCACTGAGCATCACGTTTTGAAAGTTCATCCATGTTATAGCTGTATCAGTGCTTCATGCTTTTAAAAAAATTGAGATGTAACTCACATACCATAAAATAGACCCTTTTAAGTGTACAATTCAGTGGTTTGTAGTATATTCACAGAATTGTGCAACCATCACCACTACTTCCAGAACATTCTCATACCCCAGAAAGACACCCCTTACCCACGGGCAGTCCCTAAGAATGCATTGCTAAATCCAAGGTCATGAAGATTTCCACCTGATGTTTCCTTCTAGGAGTTTATGGTTTCAGCTCTTGCATTTAAGTCTTTGATCCATTTTGTGTTAATTTTTGTATGTGATGTGAAGTAGGGATCCAACGTCATTCTTTTACATGTGGAGATATCCAGTTATACCAGCATGAATTCAAGTTTAATAGTACATTGCTATCATTAACTTTTTTCCCTGAATATCTTGACTTATACTATCATTAAAATAATTATTTTATGTGTAATGCAATATAAGGAAAATAGCTTTGAAAGATTCATATCATTGCTACTGAGTAATATAACCACTGAGGGAACTTCACCATTTCTTTGAATTTGTTTTGTCCTTAGTCTCTTTTAGTGGGATGTATTCTATCCAAATATTCTTTTTTAAAGGCTCTTGGATTAATGCTTTCTCTGTCGGGTTACATTACCAATATAATATTCATTTACGTTCATTTGCTTCAGTTTTCCTGTTGAACAGCTTTTAAATTTGTTTTGTTTTGTCTTCCCAGGGTGTGTTTTTCCTCATTTTTTATAGCTGCGTAGTATTGCATTCTGTGGATCCCTGTCCTGGGCATTTGGGTGCTTTTTCATCTTTTGCTGCTACACGTGGTGCCACAGTGGATAACCTTGTCTGTTGCTGTGCAGGTGTGTCTGTAGATTAGATTCCTAGGAGGAGGACTGCTCTCCCTCGATTAGGTGTCGCCATGTTGGTCTCCGTACAGACTGTACTGCTGTCTCCTGCCATTAGCAATGTGCAAGAGGTGTGTTGTCACACTTTGGGATTTTTGCCAGTCTGGTAGGTGACCATGTAGTTACCATTTTCTTTATTAGTGCGGATGAACATCTTTTCATATGTTTAGCATCATATGTGTGTATTTTTCTGTGAATTGTTTATGTCTGTTGCCACTTTTTCCCATTGGCTTGTTGATCTTTTTTTCCTCCCTGTTTCTAGTTAATATATAGTTCTCTATGACATGGGTTTAAATACTTCTTCCCTGCTTGTCCTTTGTCTTTGTTTATAGCGTGTTGTGTCATACAGAAGTTTTAAAACTTTTTATGTCGTCTAATTTATCAATTTTTCCTTACACGGCTTCTGGATTTTGAGTCATAGTTAAAAAGGCCTTCCCTACTTCAAGGTAATAAGGGATTTCACCCATGTTTTCTTCTAGTACTTGAGGGTTTTATTTTTAACATTTAATCTTTGACCCATTTGGAGATTTTCATGTTGTACTGTTATTTAAGCCTCTGAGTACCTCTTGAGCAGTTACTTTTCAGATGAGTTTTATAATTCTGTTGATTATGAATAAGAGCTCCCGTTTCTTACCCTTGCCAGTGTTTAACTGTAAGTTTATACTGACAAGAATATTGCCAAGCGTTCTGCCCTCTGCTTGGTCTCTCCTCATCTGTAAAATGGGAATATCTGTTCTTATTGTTTAAAAACAAAACAACAAATGGTGGAGTTGGAAGCAACAAAGAAGTACCACCTGAGGAGTTCTCTCTGTCCTTAGTGCCTTACACGTGGTGTGATCATCATCAGCGCTCGTTAAAGCCGCAGTTGATGATAAGCAAAGTACCCATATATTGAAATTTGTTTCTTGGCAGCTGTTCTTTGTCTTAGAACTTTGCTAACTGCTAATTGTGTTGTCCGTCTGCCCAGTTCGTGGAGGACTATGAACCTACCAAGGCTGACAGTTACAGGAAGAAGGTGGTCCTGGACGGGGAGGAGGTCCAGATAGACATCCTGGACACGGCCGGACAGGAGGACTACGCGGCCATTCGCGACAATTACTTCCGGAGTGGGGAGGGCTTCCTCCTCGTGTTTTCCATCACCGAGCATGAGTCATTCGCAGCAACCGCCGAGTTCAGGTGCGTCCCGGGGGGGCCTCTGCCTTCCGCTCATGGCAGCCTGGGAAGGAGTTTGGGGCTGAGTGGAGTACGTCTCAGGACGAAGTCTCTCGGAAAAGCTTGCTGGGGCGTTTTGGATCTTGGCACTTTATAGCTCGTCATTTGTTACGCTCTCTTTGGGCTTCTCAGGTTTGTAACTTCCACATATAAATGATCTTAAGGATCTGTTGTTCCTAGAGAGGACGAAGCCGTACCGTACAGCCAAAAGCCGGTAGTTTTGTTTTCATGTAAATCCCGAGAGACAGGGGTTGGTAAGCGTTAACTATCTTTATCTTTTTCCCAGTTTTGCTAGAACAGCAACAGTTCTGCTCTACTCTGAGGCTTCTGAAACCTCAGATGTCGGGAGAGTGGACGCCTTGGGTCAGAGTGACCGTGTGCTGCTCCCTTGGGGACATTAGCTCAAGTGGGGCAGAAAGCACCGGCTTCAGGGTCACATAGACCAGGGGGGTCTGAGTCCCCGCCCTGTCACGGTACTGTGACCCGGGGCAAGTGTCCTTAGCGTCCTGTCGCTTTACCTGAAAATGCTCTTGTTGATGAGATGGAATAAAATGACGCGTTAGACTTAGATTTCCTAAGGAGAACCCTTCATGGTGTGGCGGCCCCAGGCTCTTCTCACTGTGTGGGCACAAGGTGAGTATCCACTGCCGTAATTTATTTGACATCGCGGTATGTCGAGATCCCTGAAGTTCGTTTTGTTACAAAGAAATAGTGAGCTGCGTGGGCCTAGTACTCCCAGGGATTCTAGTGGGAAGGGTCTCTCTCTTTCCCCATCCCTTTCCCATCTCTCTTATACACTTGTGCGTTTTCATCCCCCTCCTTATAAACAGATCCATCCAGGGGACTTTTTATTTAGTTTTGGCTGCACTGTGTGGCGTGCGGGATCTTAGTTCCCCGACCAGGGATCAAACCCGTGCAGTGAAGGTGCCGAGTCCTAAGCGCTGGACCGCCAGGGAAGTCCCCAGGTGACTTGTCATTCTAAGAACCAGAACTAGAGTCGAATAGGGAACTAAAAAGGAAAAAAACAACCAGTAATCTTTTTTCATTCTTTAGCAAGTTCTGGTCAGAAATGAAGGTCATCAGCCAAAGGTGAGAACAAGGAAGCTAAACGTCCCCCCAGGATGTGGAAGGAGCATCGGTGGGCGGTGGGGTGGGGGGGGGGCGGGGGGGGGCCCCCCCCCCCCCTGCCGATGCAGGGGACACGGGTTCGTGTCCCGGTCCGGGAAGATCCCACATGCCGCGGAAAAACAACCAGTAATCTTTTTTCATTCTTTAGCAAGTTCTGGTCAGAAATGAAGGTCATCAGCCAAAGGTGAGAACAAGGAAGCTAAACGTCCCCCCAGGATGTGGAAGGAGCATCGGTGGGCGGTGGGGTGGGGGGGGGGCGGGGGGGGGCGCTCAGGAGCGGCCTCGGGGGAGAGGGGCAGAGAGAGGAGTCAGGCGGAGCCTCAGTTGTCTTCGTGGCCCAAGCCTCCCGAGGGCTGATAACGCAATTCTCGGCAGCTGTGGCATGTGTGCTGTGAGCTGTTAACTGGCTAGGACTCCCTGTGAGAAATCCTGTTATTTGTAGCTCTTCCTGATGCACCGAGAAGCTTCTGTAAGTGGCTATAGTCCACATGTGCATAGTTGGCTTTGCATCTACACGATCCTGCTGTTAAGCCTTCTTGAGGACCGAACAGTATGGATGCACTCACCGCCCTGTTTTCTTCCCTGTCCGGAGCCTTGGGTTTCCCATCGGCCCCGTGAGTCACCCATTAAGGAAGCGCTGGCCGTGCCCCCGCTCACTGCGCGCGCAGAGATACACTCGTGCCTCCTTACCTCCTCCTGGGAGGAGGGTTTTGGTTATTATGAAAGGAGAGAAAGGACAGGTGATGACCTAAAAGAAAAAGGAAGGGGAAGTTAGTGCTTGTGGCTTGAACTCTGGGCAGTTCGATAACAGCCCCAGGCTGCCCCGGTTTCCCACGGCGCTGGAAGCAGACGGATGTGGGTAGATCCTCGGAGCCCTTACGCTTAAACTCAGTCGCTTCATGCCTGTTAGCAGTTTTAAAACAGCGTTTCTGCATTCATCTTCCAAACAGAAAGGCTCCAACATAAAACAAAACGTCAGTACACCCTCTCTTCCTTGAAACTTTTAGGCTTGTTACAAGAGACCAGAGCTTGGTACTCCTGTTTCTCGTTCAATATGTTTATCGATGAGGTGATTAGTGACGGCTCTGCAAGACTAACGAGCCAGAATGTGATCAGTTTTGACTGTTCACCATGTATACTGATCACTAACTTCTAAGCATAGCGCGCGCTCTTTGACCCCTGTGAAATGCAGTGTGTGGCAAAGCTCCTCAGAGACAGGTTTCAAGCATCTGCTTATTTTTCATTTTGCTTAAAGGGGGCGATAAATCAGGAGCTTGGGATTAACAGACGCACAGTCTGCATACAAAGTAGAGAACCAACAAGGACCTGCTGTACAGCACAGCCAACTCTATTCGCTATCTTGTAATAACCTATAAGGCAGAAGAATCTGAAAAAGAAGAGATACATGTATATGTGTAACTGAGTCACTGTGCTGCACACCTGAAACTAACATGACACTGTAAGTCCACTAGACCCCAATTGTAAAAAATTGATATTTGGTAGTGAAACCGACTGTATGGGAAAAAATTTAAATGTTTTTATTATTATGAAATGTCACCCCGTACTATATAAAAGTCAGTGCAAATCCCCATCAAATACGTTTTTGAAGGGGTCTCTTTTGGGAATGTGTGGGAATGCAGAAGTAGGCAGGTTCCCCCTTGCTCAAAATAATGGAAGCGGAATATTTAATTTCTTGAACACTCTGTCTTTCCAAGGTGATTTTAGGTAGCTGATTCTTTTTAGTAGAGGTAAACCTTAACGTGCTGCAGGTAGCAGTTACTTTAGAGAAGATGTTTTTGAAGTACTTTTCCATAGGCCTTGTAGTATTTCATGTTTCCCCCCCCCCCACTTTGTAGTAGCAAAATAAGGCACGTTGTAGTGGGGCTCCTGCCGCACAGACCTGGGCGGGGGCGGGGTGCACAGATGCAGACAGAGTTGAAGCAGGAGTGGCACAAAACTGCACTTGCCTTTACTGTGAGCGTCCCTCTAATGTTGCTTTCCTTCTCTGTAATATTCTACTTGACTGAGGAAAAAGAATCACCAGTTTTTGTCCCACTGCATTGATTTCACGGTCTGCTAACAGACCATATGAAAACCCCTGGGTTTCATGGCTTTTATTCTCACAAAGAAATCAGACTTTTTTTTCCCCAGGGGCATTATTAAGCGTTTTGTATATGAAGACACTTCTTTCATCTGGTTTCTACCACAGAGGGTCCCAGATTTCTCCTTAGTTTTGTTTTTTGGCCGAAGCCTAAATTGGGGATGCTGTTGAAATGCAGAATCCTGGGCTCCTGCCCACATATCTGCTCCCGGGCCCAGAAACCTGCGTTGCTGGTTTTTTTTTTAAGAACTTTTCTCCCGTTTTACTGTTCATTTTATTCATTTATTTCTTGGCCACACCGCGCCGCATGCGGGATCGTAGTTCCCCCACCGGGGATGGAACCCGGACGCTCTGCATTGGGAGCGCAGAGGCCTAACCACTGGACCGCCAGGGAAGCCCCCAGACCCGCGTCCGTAGTGAGCACCCGCGTCCCCGGGGCGCAGCAAGCTGGGAGCAGAGCCGGCAGGCGCTGGCTGGCCATGGGCTGGAGCGGCGCACCCTGGGGATGGGCCTGGGCCAGCGGCCCGCCTGTGGGGGGACCGGCGCCCGGCCTGGCCTGCTCAGCCGCCTTCTTCTTGATCTGTCACCCAGGGAACAGATCCTCCGCGTTAAGGCGGAAGAAGATAAAGTCCCGCTGCTGGTGGCGGGGAACAAGTCTGACCTGCAGGAGCGGAGGCAGGTGCCGCTGGAGGAGGCCAGGGCCAAGGCCGAGGAGTGGGGCGTGCAGTACGTGGAGACCTCGGCCAAGACGCGGGCCAACGTGGACAAGGTGGGCCCCGCTCCCCACCTGCCGGTCCTGGGGAGCTGGGGGGGGGGGCGCCTCGCGGGGGGCCTGACTTCGCACGAGCGGCACGGGGAGGGGGCGGC